ACATACTAGGGCTTCATGCAGAGCTAAATAAATCATTATACCTCCAAGATTCATCCACTTTAACTACGTCGTTGTGGCTCAATGGTGTAGAGAGTGGCGTCAAGTTTGGTGGGGTGCCCAGCTTACTGGTGGAGAATGCCATCACTAGTGTATCGACTAAGCCCACTAATGTAAACCCCTGCTTGCCAGGTAGTCAAATCCATGTTATGATAGCGTCTATTAACCTTCGCCGGTCAGATTGCGTAGTTCAAATGCAGGCACGGTAAATGAAGCGGTATAGTGATTCGGACCGACCTTCTCTTTCATCTATATATATGTATGTACCGTGAATGAGATGGCATAAAAACGGTTCTGTACGGGCCTCCACAATTAAGATTGTAATTGCTCAATACACATCATGGGCACGACTTCCCCGAATAGCGAGAAACGCCAAATCACCGACATAAATGAGCGACGAAAGCTTCAGAATCGTGTAGCTCAAAGAAAATACCGTAAGCCATTTTCTGTATCTGTGTACTTGGCATCATCTTCGATATCTCCCTCCCTGTTTATCTGTAGCAAGACCATTTTCTAAGTGTATTCAGGAACAAGGCAGAAAACACGTATGAAACTCGCTGAGGCTGTATTAAATGATTACACCTACATCCATCCAACCCTTGGAACAATCCAGTCGAAGAAAAAATCTCCTTTGACTATGGAATGCGACCGATCAAGTGCTTCGTATCCGGATCTTTCATCTTACGCCGAGATATGCTCTGAAACACGATCCGAAACACAGGCAACCCGCGCAAGACAACTTACCAGCCAGCGGACTTGCTTCAGAGAGTCAGTGGACAACAATCAGGCTGATAGTCATGCTCAGTTGAGCAGGTGTCTGAACAGGCAAGAGATGTTTTATGGAATTAGTGGGGAGACGGAATTTTCCGAAGGTGATACTCGGGACAGAGTAGAATGCATAGACCCCAATCTCACACGTGGCTGGCTGGACATGGACTTGCGTTCTGGTACACCGAACTCGTCCACAGTCGTCGATTGCGGACTCTGTACAGTGGGTGCTAATAGTCAGCCGCCTACAAGGACCAATGTCCAGGAAGCGATTGAGACTCTGGAATTGTTCGAACCGAACGATCAACGCAAGACAGAGAATCTTCCCAGGGAGCCATGCGGGTCTTGTCCCAGTTCGTCACATGGCTACTCGCCTACCTCGGGAAATCCATCCACACTATTGTTGACACCATCGGAGAGTTTGATGAATTCAGTTATAGTAACCTCAGACTCCCCGTTACTTGCCGCTGATGATAAGTCACCAGGAGATTTAGTAATATCCGAGGCGAATACACATGGCCCAAAGGAAGACCAGTTTAGCCCCCTGATGACAGCTATCTCTCTGGGAAGACTTGACATTGCCCGTATACTGTTACAGTCAGGCGCACCACTGGATATCCCGGATGATAGCGGCAAAACAGCACTTCATAGAGCTGTGGGGCGTAGGGAACTTCATATGGTGGAGGCATTGCTTAACCTCGGTGCTGAGATGCTAGCGACGGATCATGAAGGCAACAGTCTGCTACATATAGCAGTGAAGACGAATAGTTTAAGCATTACAAGATTACTCTTAGAACGTTACAAGTCCTGTAGAGAACTAAAAGACGCTCAGCTAGGGCATGGTTGTAGACAGCACGGCAACCAGGTACATAGTGAGTCGTGGATTGACCTTCGCAATCGAGAGGGTATGACGGCAGTACACCTCTCCGTTATATTTAACCGCCCTGAAATACTCCAGCTACTAGTTAAATATAGCGCGAATGTTAACTAGTAGCAAATAAAATTGATTCATACTTATTAAAATTAACTAGTCGTGAAGAAATCTCTAGTGGTTGTAGGGAAATCAAAAAGCTAGAGTTGTAAGTGGCTGCGCTCTGGGGAGCGATCGCAAGGTATGTAAAAGGTTGTATTCGATAACCAGCTGAATATCTACTACTAACTGCGTGATGTTTATTTACTCGTCAGAGAAAGGCTATGCGGAAGTATCTGGGCGCGTTGACTGAGCGCTGCTCGGGGGGTGAGCAGAATCCGGGCGCTCCGGGTGACACCGGGATTCTGCGCTCGTCATCTTAACGTTGTTCGGATGGCGTACGCGCAGACTGAACCGAGATCCCATCGAGGAGTAATCCAAAGGGCGTTCAGCCCATCGCATCTCCAACACCCCCTACCCAATACTAGGGTAGGGGGTACGTAACTGCAATAAAAACCCATGATAATAGTATTCGATTGGCTAACAATCTAACCTGACCTAGTCTTTACCCGCAGGCTTAGCAAACCGACCTAACCTACACCTGATATTGATCTGACCCGACCCCACCTGTACCCGATTATAATACCAAGAGTCGGGTAGAAGTATGGCTAGATTGCCGGGCCTTCGGATAAAGGTTAGGTAGGGTATGGATTGTATAAGACCGAGCCATACCCTTACCTTTACCCGTTTACCACCGTGATAATTAAAGAGATATATCAATGTAATGGTACCACGTTGTACACGTAATAGATCTAAACGTAAAATATTCACCTGTATATTTTGTATTCAGATCACAACTACGGATTCGCTAACTAGAAACAGTACGTATAGTGCAGTACTGATCGCACTAGTACTATAACTCGATATTGGGCCGAAATTGGACATTCCGCTCTCTTCCTATCGGCCCTGCTCAGTCCCGATCGCCACGATCCTGTAGTGCAACTTATGTGCTCACGTTGATCGCTGTAACCTTGTCAGATTTGATGGGTCTTCAGTCATGGGGTCAAAGACAGGTGTTCATTGTTTCTATCTCCTGAGGTGTCGCCTTTTTGTAGCTTTTTCTTTTCTTTTGTTTCCTTGGCCTCATGCATGGGCCTCAACTAA